TGCTTCGTATTTATGGTAGGGACTATAATCTCATTTTACATATGCAGAAACTAGGGTTAGAGAACTTAAATAACTTGCTCAAGGAAATCTGAGGAACTAATTTAAAATGGGTCCTAAAATGCAAGGCAAACACTAACTCCATCTACACCGACCTGTAAAGTGACTTAAGGTAGAGTTAGCTCAAAGGTTGCATTCAGGATGAATCGTGTGGTGAACCTTGTTCAGCTATGAAACCGGAATTTATAAAAGTATAACTCAGGCCCACTGAAAACTGGATATACTATGATCAAGGTTTCAAATATTTTTTTTTTTTTTTTGGTTTTTCGAGACAGGGTTTCTCTGTGTAGCTTTGCGCCTTTCCTGGAGCTCACTTGGTAGCCCAGGCTGGCCTCGAACTCACAGAGATCCGCCTGGCTCTGCCTCCCGAGTGCTGGGATTAAAGGCATGCGCCACCACCGCCCGGCTAAGGTTTCAAATATTTTTAAAGCTGAAGAAAAAAAAAAAAAGCAGAGGCCTGATGGAGTCAGAATTTCAGAATGAAACCAGTTGTAATCTACTGCCCGATTACTAGATTCTAAAAATAATGACAAATGTTGTCCACCTACAATCATAATGTTCCAGTATGTGCACACAGATGTTTATTATGTGGGAAGACGATGGCACTTCCTCACATTAGTTTGTTTCCCCCAATCCTTGCAAAAGGCTTCATAAATTCACACCTAAAAAGTAGGGGCACAATATCCTTTGCATTCTTCGTCAAATGCATAACAGCGACCAGTTCAATTGCCTCGACTCAGCCATACTATAGTTTCCCCCAAGCTTCCCCTGGCTAACATCTTCTCCATAGAGTGAGGAGTTTTATACTTATAATGGACAGTTAAGAGCTAATATTACCCTGCTCTGGTAACTACAATGCCCTACGCCAACAGGACATAAAACCACTCTATAAATTTGAAACAACTACTAGTTTTTTTTTTTTTTTTTTTTTTTTTGGTTTTTTCGAGACAGGGTTTCTCTGTGTAGCTTTGCGCCTTTCCTGGAGCTCACTTGGTAGCCCAGGCTGGCCTCGAACTCACAAAGATCCGCCTGGCTCTGCCTCCCGAGTGCTGGGATTAAAGGCGTGCGCCACCACGCCCGGCAAAACAACTACTAGTTTTAACTGGTCATTAAGTTTACATACAAATATATTAAAAACTGGCTTGATCAGAACAAACCATTTAAAATTTTAATAGACATGAAACATGCTCAGGTGAGCCTGAGAGCTATATAGCTAAGACTTTATCTCAACAACAAAAAGACTGCAAGTGTTTAATAATTGCTTTGAAATTTTTATAATAATAAAATCTAGTATCACAAGTGAAAACTTGAAATATACTTAGAAATACTAAAGTGGTCCAACTAATGTAATTTTAAAATTTAAAAATAATCAAGTCTTGAGCTGATGAGATGGCTCAGTGGGTAAGAGCATTACCAGTAAGCCTTACAACTTGAGTTCAATACCCAAAATCTACATGATGGAAGAAGAGAATCAACTCCAGAAAGTTGTTTTCTGACCTGGACAGGTATGCTATTTGAGTTAAAAAGAAAAAAGAAAAAAGTAAGGCTTTTTTGATTCTTAATAGTTCACACATGTCTACTTTCCCCTTCCTATAGATATTCACAAATATCACCTCTCTCCCACACCTACACACTATATATATGCATATATGTATACATATATATACATATACACACATGCGTGTACATACTATGTATAGTGTGTGTGTGTATGTATATATATATATATATATATATATATATATATATATATATATGCCCTGTATCTACAAAACATAAAACCACTCTATAATTTGAAACAACTACTAGTTTTAACTGGTCATATATATATATACATACACATATATATACATATATATTTAACTGGTCAAATATATATAATCTATCTATATATAAAAGTTCAAAAGCATTTGTAATTTCTTTATTCATTTTGTGCAGGCCTCAGAACCCACATTAATAATACTGTCTTCAGAAGCATGGAGATGGTCCTTCCACTTAAGGTGAACTACTCACCAAGACATCACCCATATTAGAACCAACAATGTGAGCCATAAAACTCAGCTCACTGCTCTTCAATCTGCAGCTTCTGAGATTCTGGTTATGGCAATGTGGGGCCCCATTTCTTCCTTTTTCCATCTAATAAAATAAGGTTCTAATCAGAAACACATAGCTCTACACAGGTATACACAGTATTGCTAAATTTACCAGTTTACTACTTCAAAAGAATAACAGGAGCTTTATGTTTTCAAGCTAGAGGTACCACCTGCCAAATAAAAGCTTCCTCAATCACTTTAAAACACTTAAGTCTTTCAGAGTGTGGTAAACCAGTACAGGAAGGAAGGCTTCGTGAGAACCAAGGACGCCCTAACTTGTAACCACCGGCAAGTCCCTATTTAATATGCAGTACTGTTAACACTACAAATGATTAATAGTTCTAAATGAATAACTAATAGCTATTATCCATCAATCACCTATTCATTGCAATGAGCTTTACTGACCTTTACATAATAAGCCTTTAAAATAACGCGGACCAGGAACTTGATAGTAAAGGGTCACTCTAAGCGTCCTGCACAATAACCTCTAAGGGACCCCATCAAGTTTGTACAGGAGGAAACTGAGGGTCAGAAAGACTGGCCTTTCTCCAGCTATCAGAGCTCGACATGGTTAAGGCAGAGTCGAGAGTATCCCGAGTCTAAATACCTTCCTCTCGGCCACACTGATATCAAGAGAAGGTTAGAGCCAGGGTTAAAAGCAAGAACAGGCAGAGGCGAGCCAAGAGTATTATCAAACATGAACAAACAGGGAAGTCTGCGACTGGTAATAAACAAATAAAACTCCCTACTTCCAAACTGTAGGGGCACAGCCACTGGGGGAGGGGGGGGACTGCTTCCAACAGCCTGTAGTCGCCCGTGGAAGCCCTGCAAGCCCTGCGGAGTTCTTCTAAGTGCTGCACCCTGTTAAAAGGGAGAGCATCTGTACAGAGCATGGCTTCAGCAACTGAAAACCGTCTTCAGGGACAGAGGTAGCTATTGCAACTATTCTCACCTACTCCCACGAAAATATCCACTCTCTTCCCTGCCTGACAGGAAGAAGTTTCAAAACTGTCCGAATACATGTCAAACACCGCGTCACGAAAACGGGTTGTCTCCGCATCGGAAAATCCTGCCACATCTCAGCTATCGCCCACATGCCTCCCTACATCCCCGAAAGGATCACTCAGGCGCTCCAAATACTATCAGGCTTCTTTCGGAAAGCAAATGTGAAACTATTATACGGGGGACTTTCTTTTTTATTTATTTTTTTTTAAACTCCAGGCTGGGAACGGAAGCCAAGTTCAGATTCTCTTCCTTCCTCAAGCGAGACGGAGAATCAGAAGAACACTCACTCCCCTCATATCACACACACACACACACACACACACACACACACACACACACACACACACGAGGCACAGACAGACAGACAGACAGTGAGCAATCGAGAGAGCGCCCACTTCTTGCAGTCAAGATCTCTGGCCTCTCCTCCACCTGTGGCCGCCAAGGCGACAGGGCCTCGATCGGTTGGGAACGGAGCCTTTTTTTTCCTCTTTGGAGGCAAAGGCGGGTGGGTCAGGGGTGAGCAGGAAGTTTTTTCACTCCGATCACCCTAACTTGGTCACCTTTCCTCGCCCGCTCGTTCGCTGGCTCGCACTACTAGCCCGGGACACTCCGGGGGGCGGAGGGGGGGGAGAGGGAGACTCCGCCAGCGCTGACACCGCGGGGAGCAAGGCACCAACCCCCTCTTGAACCCCGAAGCCCGGCGGGGCGGGGGTCCCCGGCCCCCGTCCACGGCGCGCCTCCGCGTGGGGACCGCGAAGGGCCAGCC